GAGAAGTCAGATGGATGGAGAGAGATAGGATAGAGAGAGAGAGATAAAGGGATAAATAGAGAGAGACAGAGAGAGAAGTAAGATGGATGGAGAGAGATAGGATAGAGAAAGAGAGAAAGGGATAGATAGGGAGAGAGAGAAGTGAGAGAGAAATCTCACTTCTCTCTCTATCCACCTTTCTCCTATTTCTCTCTCTACTCGGACTCTCTCTCTTTCCTTTAATCTCTCTGCCTATTTTTCCCTTTTATATATATATATATATATATATATATATATATAGAGAGAGAGAGAGAGAGAGAGAGAGAGAGAGAGAGAGAGAGAAAAGTAAGGTGGATGGAGAGAGATAGGATAGAGAGAGACTGCGAGGTGAGAGGGAAAAGCGATAAATAGAGAGAAAGAGAGAGAGAGAGAGAGAAGTAAGGTAGATGGTGAGAGATAGGATAGAGAGAGAGTGAGGTGAGAGGCAGCTAGAGAGAGAGAGAGAGACAGAAGTAAGTGGATCGAGAGAGAAGGGGAACATAAGTAGAGAGAAAAAAAGGGAAAGATAGGCAGATAGATGAAAGGAAAGAGAGAGTCCGAGTAGAGAGAGAAATAGAAGAAAAGTGGATAGAGAGAGAAGTGAGATATTGGGAAAAATAGAGAGAGAGTGTGTGAGGTGAGAGGCAGGTGCTGTAAAGAGGAAGAGAGGTAAATGGAATAAATGAGAAAGAGAGAGAGAGAGAGAGTAAGGTGGGTGGAGAGAAAAGAGATAAAGAGAGAGAGAGAGAGAAGTAAGATGGATGGAGAGAGATAGGATAGAGAAAGAGAGGGAAAGGGATAAATAGAGAGAGAGAAGTAAGATGGTTGGAGAGAGATAGGGATAAAGAGAGAGAGAGAGAGAGAGAGATAGGGATAAAGAGAGAGAGAGAGAGAGAAGTAAGGTAGATGGTGAGAGATAGGATAGAGAGAGAGAAGTAAGATGGATGGAGAGAGATAGGATAGAGAAAGAGAGAGAGAGAGAAGTAAGGTAGATGGTGAGAGATAGGATAGAGAAAGAGAGAGAGAGAGAGAGAGAAGTAAGATGGATGGAGAGAGATAGGATAGAGAAAGAGAGGGAAAGGGATAAATAGGGAGAGAGAGAGAGAAGTAAGATGGATGGAGAGAGATAGGGATAAAGAGAGAGAGAGAGAAGTAAGATGGATGGAGAGAGATAGGATAGAGAGAGAGAAGTAAGATGGATGGAGAGAGATAGGATAGAGAGAGAAGTGAGAGAGAAATCTCACTTCTCTCTCTATCCACCTTTCTCCTATTTCTCTCTCTACTCGGACTCTCTCTCTTTCCTTTAATCTCTCTGCCTATTTTCCCTTTTATATATATATATATATATATTTTTATATTTATATTAAACATTTTTTTATTTTTTTATGTCCTAGGTCTCTGAGACGCCCTCGTCTGAATGTCTTTGTTTTACGTTATTTTCTCATTGGTTTTACTCAAGGCATAATATCCTTTCTATTCCTCGCGTATCATGTCTATATATTCTATCGGTTTTAGACTGATATAGAAAATGTGGATCTTTGCCTGATGGATGAAGAAAGATTGCTATTGTAATAATAATGAAGATAATTAAGATAATCATAATGAATAATAATGATAATAATAAAGGGGGAAAATCACACCATACCACACTAAGTGCTATTTTTGTTTTATTATAACTGTTATTACCGCTTTATTTCAAGACATTTTCTTCAGCATCGTTACTACTACAACCCCCCCCCCCACCCCCCCCTTCTCACTACAGGATTCGGCTGAGATCAACGGGGGTCCAGGTGAAAGCCCTGACGGAGGCGCTGAAGGAGGGAGAGGTGATCCTCGTGGCCATCCCTGCGGAACACCACGACTCTCTCCCTCGACACCTGCTCGCCGGGAAGATCGTGGTGGACGTCAGCAACAGGTGAGGCGTTGGGGGGAGAGGGGAGGGGGGAGGGGGGGGGGTTGTCAGCCAAGGTGTCGTGGACGGAGTAGGTAAGTGTGTAGGTAAGATGGGTAAGCTGTGTAGGAGGTAAGTGTGTATATATGCGTGTCTGTGTATGTATTTCTCCGTGTGTGTGCATTTGTGTTTGTACATATAGACAACCATGCAAATAGACATACATCCATGAACCTGACACACAAACAGAGGAATGTATGTGAAATAAACCCTTCTGTAATTCCCATCCGAAAGCTAAAGTCACCCCCCCCCGCCCACAGACCCCCCGACAGCCCCCGCCGGCCCGAGAGCGTGGCGGAGCGCCTGCAGGAGCGCCTCCCGGAGAGCCACGTCGTCAAGGCCTTCAACACGCTGTCCGCCTTCGCCCTCCAGCAGGGGCACGTCAGGGGAAGCAAGGAGGTGAGGGGAGAGAGGGGGGAGGAGCAGGAGGATGGGGGGTGAATAGGAGGAGAAGGAGAGAGAGGTGGAGGAACAGGAGGATGGGGGGTGAATAGGAGGAGAATGAAGGAGGTGAGAAGTGGGAAACAGGGG